ATTTACATGCATATTTAAAGCATATTATTAACACATATCATTTTATTAGGACGAAATTAACGTATGAATATTTAAGAATAATGATAAATGTGATGTGATAAGTGATGTGATAAGTGATGTGATGTGATAAGTGATATGATGTGATAAGTGATTGATAAGTGTACAGTTTAACCTTAAAATTTTAGAAATTTTACTTAATGTCTCGGTACTTTCGACATTTATTCAACCTTTTTTAACGTCTCGCTAAGCTCGGGCCTCCATTCAATAGGGAATCGAGCTATAGTCTTGCGGATTGACGGATGTCACATGTATTTCGAAAACTTGCTAGGTTCTCTTAGACATCACCACCACTTCAGAAATAGAATTATTTAAGGACTCAATGGAGAAAGAAAGTAGCATTTGAAAAACATTTAAAGTTTAATTTTGGTGAAAAAGCCCGAGAGCCTGTATCATTTAATCGTTCTAAAACAGATCTACCCAGATTTTTGTGCTACTTAAAATAGAAGAAAATGGAAATACTTATTTTGGGTGTTTTCGTATGTATGTGTATATAATTGTACAAATTTTTGTAAAGCGATTTTTTCTTCATATTTTACATGAATGGTTTTTCAAAAGATTTGAAGCGGAGGATGATTTTGAAGTTTTTTAAAAGTTTGTTAACTTTATAGTACTCAATATGACATAATATTTTTCTTAGAATATTTTCGTGTTTTTTATTTTAATTTAAAAAACAGCTGTATAATTATTATGTCAAATATTAGCGTAATTCTAAGAAAGTATTAATAAATATGGTATAGATATTTTGACATCATTGACAGATATATATATAGATAATTCGGTAGATCTTTAAGTGCCAGTGAAATGGGAAAATAGGGCATTGTTTGTAAATAATGAAGAGTGAATCGCAACAATCAACGATCGCTTCTTGACGTCTCAAAGGAAATTGAGTTGAAATCTCTTTTCAATTCTAAATTGTGATATTTGTATTTTATATTTTCACGTTCTGAACAGAAAGTAACATTAGTAAACATCTTTTGATTGATTTAAATATAATAATGTGTTTAAGATTTTTTTAAATATAATTTTTAGACTTTATACTACTTGTACATAGATCTATAATATTGTTTTTCTGCGTTTCCTGCTATATTATTTTGTTTATATATACATATTAGCAATCTCTTTTTTTTACAACAATTCTTATAACGGAAAAGCGATCGCTAGTCTATCTTTATAATCTTAAATGACAATTCTCGTATCTAAAATTTCGTATATCTCGGAAACAGCTCTATGTATATATATATATATATATATATATATATATATATATATATATATATATATATATATATATATATATATAATATAAAGATTTGGATCAAATTTTGTATTTACCTATGATTGTTTAATTATATATATAGGGCCTTTTCTTAAGAGACAATTTTACAAAAAAAAAAAAAAACAAATTATAACCAATTATTTTATTTAGATCCTTTTTTATCTGCTCTCATGCAGACTAATATATAGTGCCATATTGTGAATTTTTATGGTACTTCCATTGTAGCCAATGCATGATATATAATCTATGAACGAGCGCCTACGCTGAGCGAAGCTCTGCCGCCTAGGTAAGTATTATAATATTTTTCTGATAGTAAGTATCAATCATGCCCAAAGTTCTATTAAAACCCGTTCAGCCATTCTGCAAATTTGTGAAAAATTGATAAAGCTTATGTCATATTTTTAAAAAACTACTTTGAAATTACAGAATTATAATAACAAAATCATCAACTATACAATTTCTAGGAAATTTTTTAACAATATTTTAAAATATTAAATTAATTATGGTATAATACAACCCTTATTTTAATATGAATGCTTTGCTTCACAAACGTATCTGATGGCACTGACATGTCCAGTTTACGCCTCGTTAACCCGCATTTCATGTATATAATACAGTATAATCTGAATAAAGTATAACACTAATGTACTACATGCTTTCGTCTTATTCGTGTTATATCATTTCCACAGACTGTTTTTTTTTAAATATTTACCTAACATAGTTTTTCGAAGGATCATTACCTCCTTGATTTATTACTAACATGTAGATTAGTTCAAAAACTATTTTAAAATAGTCCATAATATGTTGTTATTGATTATTTTAAAATTAAATGTCTTGTCAAAATAGACAAACCAAATGATACGATTTAAGATATTTTGCTAGAGATTTTTCGTTTAGGAGGATCCTTCTTTTACATTTACATATATACATACCTACTAATATTTATAAATGTTTACTCCGTCCGCCTGTTAGCTTATTACTCTAAAACTGCTGTACTGATTTTGATGAAATTTACCAGATATAAATTGAGCACGGACATAATATACTTTTTATCCACATCAAGTTTCGATCCCCCAGAGCAAAACTGGTATATATGTATATAAAAATGCTTGTGATATGTGGGTGCCAGATTCTTAGCCTTGGGAGTTGTTGATAAATAAATAAAAATATAATCTTTTTAGAGGTTACAGATGAACATATCAACATACTTCTTTTGAGAGTATTACTGCAGTAATATTACTTGAAACTAGTAAGTTATAAGTTAAATCGAACCTAAATCGTTTGACTTGACCATACATGCAGTTGCTTATAAAAGACAGCTACCGCTTCTGCGATGAAGATGACAATGTAAAGCGAAACTTTGATTAGTTATATAACTAGCATGAACCTCCTATCACCTTCACTGCCATGCGGGCACCATATAAATATGTTACATCGTTTTGCTCACTTTTGTATTATATAGCGTATGGAATATATCTTTAATACTAATATTTTAAACTGTATTTCTATGCTTATATTATATATATAGAGGTAAAGTTTGTGAGTTTGTGAGATTTTAGGGGGTAATCTCTGGATCTACTGAACCGATTTAGATGAAATTTGGTAAAAAGATAGTTTGAGATCCTGGAAGGACTACTTATATTTTTATACCGGAAATCGTACTTCAAGGGGTTGAAAATGGGGATGGAAGTTTGTATTGGGAAGCAAGCTAGGGACGAATCCAAGCGAGGGTGAGTTGCTAGTAATATATAAAACTGAAGTAATTGTTAGTTTGATCGCGCTAATCTCTAGAACTACAAGTCTGATTTGAATAATTATTTTCGACTCATTTGGACTGAATTGTCTTATTATTTTTTGTGTGACTTAAAAATCTATAGGTACATAATAAAATTGTAACTTAGCCAAATCTGTACATTAAATATTTTTTGGAAAATCATATTGAAATAGACATTATTATCGACACAGAGACCGAATCGATGGTTTTTAGAAATTTTGTTTGTCTGTGACCGCATCACAGAAAAACCACTGAAGGGATTTTGATGACGATGATAGCTGGTTATCCGGATCAACACATTAGATACTCTTTACTGTTGGAAGATATCTCATCTCTGAGAAGTCTGTACTAAACGTTAAAACGTAAGTAGGCACGAAACCGAGTGGAGCAAGGGTGAGTCGCTAGTAAAGAAGTATACCGCAGATTTATTTATTATTATCTAATTATTATCTTATGAAATAGAGTCTAATATCTATATACTAGTGACTCACCCTCGCTTCGCTCGGGTTTTTCCCTAGCTTGCTTCCCCATACAAATTTTCGTCCCCATTCTCACCCCCTTAAGGGATGATTTCCGGGATAAAAACTATATCTCTCACTAACTTTTCCTATCATGAGATTTAAAAAAAAACTTATTTAGTAAAAAAAAATATTTTAATTTTCTTCTATACAAAACCTATCCTGACAATAACAAACATAAAAAAAGAATTATCTAATTTGGTGCAGTTGATCGGAAGCTATGCGCGTACATACATTTGGGTGAATCATTTTTATTTTTATAGATTATATTTATTACATAATAATTCTCACCAGATAAGCATATGCGTTAAAGATGAAACTGTTTGGGGTCTTCTCTATCCACTAACACAAGGATTAATAATTATAATATAATATGTATAATGTAGTATATCTAAATTCATTTCCTGTCAAACAGCGCACTGCATTAAGCTCGATAAATATGTATATCGAAGGTGAACACTAAGAAAGGATTCTGGAAGTCCATCCCTTAAAAGATTAGATTGGAAAAGTAAGATTTTATAAAAAAATCTTTTTTTATTTGTTTTAAACTTGGCAAATATCCTATCAAATACATTGCCCATATTTGAATATATTAGAAAAGTTACAAAAATAAATCTGCCACAGACATTAATTGAATAAAATATTTTTAGCACACATAAAAGCAAAATAGCGGGTCCGATAACGAATGATATGGAATGCCCTTTTTGCTAAATAATGGTAATAAATACAGCGACTTGAGCGCTTAACACCCATCACTCTGAGGTGGGTGGGTTACATAGTCGTATACGTATAGTGTAATCAAACTAAGAACGTATAGATGCACTAAACGGATAGGCATTAGGTACTTTTCACTGCAATAAATTGTTAGAAGATCATTTCATGTACTTGCTTAGAAGTCTAATAAGGGATCCTCTAAGAAATTTAATTTCATATTACTATTTTAACGAATTTAAAACTAAATATTAATACGTGATTTTACTGTATCAAAAATTATTATACTAAATGTGCAATACTTTATATCGTACAACATTATTTTTTCTTGAAATAAATTACAAAAGTATGTATTCATTTCTAATTGAATTGTTTTAAGTATAAAATATTTTAAACTATATTTCAATATAATTGACAACATTAAAAAAGTTTAAGCAAACGGTCGAAGTGTGTCCGTGACTTAACGGAATGAAAGATCCAAGTAACACTGAACACTTGATTCAGCCAATCAAATAAACCCACCCTCCTGCGATCTCCCGCGCCTCTTCTCTTTATAAGGCGCAATACGTAACGGGCACGAGGCAGTTTGTACTAGACAGTGCATCTAATAGTACCCTAGTCCCATATACCCCTATTAATTTTACCATCAAAAATTCTTAAAATGAGTGGATCAGGCAAGGGGCTCCTTGGCTTGTGGCTGTATAGAAATGGTTCAGATTGGCAAGTCAAAAATGTAGCTCCTCATCATCCTAAATTAGGGGAGCTTCATGCAGCACAGCAACAAGCTCAAGAAGGAGAAAGGATCTCAGTGATTTTTACGGTAAAAAACCAGGTTGGAGGTCTGGTGAAAGTTTTGTCGGTGTTCCAGGATCTCGGAATAAATGTTATTCATATTGAATCTCGAAAGTCTGCTATGGAGATATCTGCTGTGAGTTCAGCTCCTTAGTATCTTTAATACAGTAAATTTAAGAAAAATGTTTTAGGTAGTTTTTCCTCCTTGCACACAATTAATGCAAGGAATGACTTGGGCTTCTTCTATTTCAATATATTATATGGTTTACGTAAATAAAAGTGTCGAATTCTACTGGTACTGGACGGATCCTTAATACTTTACACTATGTTGCACTATAACCTAAATATAAAAAAAAATATAAACACTTTCGTATTTTATCAAAATAAGTTTTTTCTAAAATAGGATTACAATCATCTTGATTTTGAAATTATTATTTAAATATTTTAGTCTGACATCTTGGTGGATGTAGAATGTGATCCTAGAAGGATGGAACAACTGAAGCGAATGTTAAAACGCGAGGTGCAGGACTTCGAAGTTGTTTCCTCTCAAACGGGCGAAGAGTTTCCACCACCGACACCATTGTCAGCTGCTGCTAGCTTCGGTATTTGCCTTTAGCTTCATATTACCTATACATTTACATCTCATCTCTTCAATGTCCCATTGCTGGGCATGGGCTTTCCTTAAACCCAAGAGGGATAGGCCATAGTCCATCACACCTATCAAGTGCGGCTTGGTGGACTTCACACTTCTCTCAAAAGCTAGTTAGATTCTTTTAGATATCCAAGTTTCTCAACGATCTTTTCCTTATCATTTTGCAAATAATTTATTCATGAATATATAAGAGTGTGAATTAAGCATTTACACGATTTACAACACCAGGACCCCAAAGGCATACAAATAGTTTATAGCTCTTAAAGTAGCATACGTGATGCTACTTTTATACTGACACAATCAATGATCTTAGTGATTTAGTGATGATAATAAAATCTGCTAAAACGTTAACTTACAGGTACGCTTGAAATAGCTAAACACTAATAGATTATAATTTTAAAATCAAAACTAGTTAGTACATCATTATATCTGTCATTAATGAATTCGAATTTAATAATTTTGAAAAGATAATTTTCAATATCTTAGTTTAATTTTGTTAGCTGTTCTAGTGTTAATGTTAAAAGAGAAGACAATGGAGCGGCCGTCGGTGAACATCAAAATTTTATTATATTTTTTGTTATTTCTAAGCATTTAATAATAATTTTAGATTTTGGTGAAATGCCGTGGTTTCCTAGAAAGATTTCAGACCTTGATCGTGCACAAAATGTGCTCATGTATGGCTCTGAGCTTGATGCTGATCATCCCGGATTTAAAGATCCTATTTACCGCAAGCGACGGGAACAATTCGCGACTATTGCTAACAACTATAAATAGTGAGTATAAAGAATAGTGAACATATTTGCAACTTATGGTCGTGTGTTTTTAATTTTTAAACATCTACCGCTGTCCGTCCGTCTGCCAGAGGGCTGTATCTCACGAACCATAATAGGTAGATAGTTGAAATTTTCATAGAATATGAGTTTCTATTGACGGATTGACGGATTTAAAATAAAACAATAAAAAAATAACACTTTTTTAACGTTCGTAATCGATTATCGAAGTTAATAAGTATATGTATAAATCAAAGTCAATAGAGTAAAAGTCATATTAATAAAAAGTACTTGTCCAATGGCATGGAACCCTTCGTGTGAAAACTTGACTCGCACTTGACGGATTTTTTTTCTATATAATTTAGATATATATGTCGACTAGCACTGCCTGCGGCTCCGCCCGCGTTCAGATGACCAAAAAATAATTCTTAGGTTTTACATATTAGTATACTCTTACAATGCAGTTTATGTGTTTTTGTATTTTTTCTCAGAAATGAGATATTTTCCCGCGGTAAAAAGGAGTCTATATGTTGACCCGTATAACCAGCTATCATCATACCAAATTTCATCAAAATCTGTCCAGCGGTTTTCTCGTGATGCGGTAACAGACAGACAGACAGACAGACAGACAGACAGACAGACAGACAGACAGACAGACAGACAGACAGACAGACAGACAGACAGACAGACAGACAGACAGACAGACAGACAGACAAAAATTCTAAAAACTATAGATTCGGACTCTGTATCGATAATAATGTCTATTTCGATTAGATTTTCCAAAAAATATTCAATGTACAGATTCGACTTTGTTACAATTTTATTATATGTATAGATAGATAAACTACATGGTTTTTAAGATATTAATGATTAAAATAGCTTAATAAATGTTGTAGCATTAATAATTAAAATTAAATAATTTATATTAAACTATTATTTATCTTTAGTCCTACAGATTATATTTTAATAATAATATCTTCTCTCATTTGAATAGCGGACATCCTATTCCAAAAGTGCAGTACACGGATGTTGAAATAAAAACATGGTAAGTTTGATGATCATTTTTTATTGATGTTAATCTTAAGTAAAATTTTAACGTATTTACAGTGTATTAAACTATTAGATAAAGTCAAAATGAAAATTTTACGAATAAGATGTTCCTAGGGAGAGAAATTCACAGATTTAACTTATGTTGCGAATGCCTAATCAATTTTAAAAGCGATTTTTTATCAATCTACTAAAATATACGATAAATAGGTACTCTAACAATGTTATATATTTGTTATATTTAGTATAAATCTTCGTTTCAATATCAAGGAGTGTTTTTGAATTATTTCATGCACTTTTCATACTTACGTTATTGCAAGCGATAACATATCATTTTCTTTTTGTAGATACATACCTATATCATTGATATACAAAAATATCAATAAGATATATATATATTTAATATTCCTTTCTTTAAAAGTCTTAAAATCGTTATTGACCTTATAAAGAATCCCTTTGTTTCTTCAAATATCGTAAAAAAGTTTAATTAATAATAACTTTGTCCCGCATAAGTAATTCTATGTAAATTACAATGAATTGTTAATTTTGAATATAGATTACAATTTGTAACCATATTATATTTTATTTATTTATATTGTATTAGTTAATCTATACGTATAATAAAATTTTAACTGATCGCTGTCTGTACAATGAAGATATTTGAGAATAACTATTATTTTTTACTAACGCAGTAGAACCCAAAACAAAGAGTTTTAGAATTTTTGTCTGTTTGTCCGTTTATTTGTGCTTTTATGAGCTAATCTCAGAAACGGCTTAACCAATTTTGGTGCGGTTTTTACTTATGTATTGCGGTAAGCTTTATTTGACATATTTTAGTATTTGTTATATTTCAATTGGTTCATAAATAAAGAAGTTATGACAATTTAAAGAATTATCACGAACGAACCCGAGCGAAGCGAGGGTGAGTCACTAATCTTTAATATATTAGTATAAAATGGCTTTTTAATAGTTTATTTACGTACTTAACACCTCAAGGTAAATTTCTAAAAAATTAATTAAATTTCAAAGAAATCTATTGTTAACTGTAACGCCGGCGTGTCCGCGGTCGTGGAGTGATTAATGTTCTATTTTGAATTAAAAAATTATATAATTTCGAAATATATCATATAAGATTAATAAATTACCTTCTTCTCAAATCATTACATTCTCTTTTTCACGTCCTTCTACTGGGCACAGGCTCCATTAAACAGATACTCAGAGTCCCCCAGATTGGGGAACATTCCATAGACCACCGTGCTAGTCACTATTGATTATAGACAAAAGACACTTGATTATAGATAAAAGCTCCTAAGCAACTATAAAATTTATGGATAAACATTGTTTTAAATTCCCTATCATTGTTACATACTGCAAAGTTTCTTCGTTTATTGATTGTGGTTGGTTCAAAGTTTAGCTCAGAATGTTGCTTTAATATAAAATAAATTACAACTACAAGTAATATTCTAAACTAATATTTAAAATACTATGTATTTATATACCTGCTGCTCTAAACTTCTCTGCTAAGGTCTTATGAAAACCTGCCGCATCCAAACTAAATTAAACACTGCACTATCTAAGTTAGTGAAATATCCTATACGATAGAAACTACGAAGGATGAACTTTCATGTCTACCTACTACAGAATTGAATTTCTAGTGATACGTAAACTCATTTTACATACGAGCAGCTTTCGAATATTAAAGACTTATTGCTTTGATATTTATGTCATACTAGCATTACCCGCGGCTCCGCCCGCGTTCAGATGACCAAATACCAAATTCTTAGGTTATATATATATTAATATTCTCTTAAATTGCAGTTTTTGTATTTTTTCTCAGAAATGAGATATTATCCCGCGGTAAAAAGTATCCTATATGTTGACCCGGATAACCAGCTATCACCATACCAAATTTCTTCAAAATCCCTCTAGTGGGTTTTCTCACAGATGGACAGACAGACAGACAAAAATTCTAAAAACTATAGATTCGGCCTCTGTATCGATAATAATGTTTATTTCAATAAGAATTTCCAAAAAATATTTTATGTACAGACTCGATTCAGTTATAATAATTTTTATTATATGTATAGACTAATACAAACTGCAAAGAACAATATTGTAACTCATTTTTGTAATTTTTTTAAAGTTTGATAAATATATAATAAAATTTTAATTTTTAAATAATTTCAAGACTGACTGTGGTGATTGACCATACTGTGCTTCGCAGGCGCTAATAAGTTTAAGAAGCATATCTTGTCAATTGCATGAGCGATGATAAATGTTGATAGCCATATAATATTATGATACTAGCTTGCTTCGCAAAATAAGCTTTCATCCCTGTTTTCACCCCCTTACGGGATGATTTCCGGAATAAAAAGTATCCTATGTCATTTCCAGGGTCTCAAACTCTCTTCTTACCAAATTTCATGTAAATTGATTCAGTATATCCAGAAATTCACCCCTACAACGTCACAAACTCACAAACTTAACCTCTGTATAATATTATTAGTAATTAGTATAGATAACTACCTAAAAACGCTACTGTCAATCACAATTTGTAATAAATGACATAAAATATACATTTTTTAATATTATAAATGTGATAGTGTGTTTGTTTGTCCTACTTTCACGTCGAAATGGAGTGACGGATTGGCGTGAGTTTTTGTGTGGAGATAGTTGGAGGGCTGGAGAGTGACATAGGCTTCTTTTTACGGCGGGAGATCATCTCATTCCTGCGGAAAATCACATTATAATACAACCCAAACATTTGTCATCAGAATTACTTGAAACTAGGTATTAATGCTCTTCAATACAATTGAATAAATACTTTTGCTTTTTTCGAAATTCATCCCATAAGGGGGTAAAATAGGGGATAAAAGTTTATATGAAACCTAGTTTTTAGTTTTTCTATAGTTTTAGCGCGAGCTAAGCAGCGGGTTCTGCTAGTAATATATAAATGCATGTGGCGAATGAAATTTCATAAAATATCTGCTGTGAGGCATATGGGTTACTGATTAGTTGAGATGAGTGTGAAATAATTCTTTTCAAGGATTTTATATTTTACTAGCGGACCCGACAGACGTTGTCCTGTCTACACGTCTTTAATTTGAAAATTTCAAACTTTTTTTAATAAGCTAAAACATTCTGGACCATTTTGATGAAAATTATTTTTCAAATTGTGAATCTAAACCATTCCCAGATCCCCTTGAACACACACAAAAAATTTCATCAAAATCGGTCCAGTCGTTTGAGAGAAGTTCAGTGTCATACACACTCACAGAAGAATTATATATATAAAGATAGAATTTTAGTTAATGTATAAAATTCACAATTTTAATAAATGGACATGATATTACATAAAAAAAATATGTTGCAGGGGCGTCATTTTTAGGGAGCTCTTTAAACTCTACCAGAAGCACGCTTGTGATGAATATCTCGAGAATTGGCCTCAGCTTGTGAAATACTGCGGTTATAGGGAAGATAATCTACCACAGGTACGCCTATATTTTCTAATAACTCGCCTTCTTATTTTTGCATCTATGTGCTAAACATGATCTAAATCAACATATATTTGACTCAAGTTAAAAACAAGTTGCAAACAATCGTTCAAATTAATGTATGTATGTCCGTGAGGACGACGTCACTGGCTGGGACGAAAGATGTACCACTGTCCACTGATAACGTTTTAAACGATAAAAGTACGTAAAATGAAGACCTGGCTCTCTCTTTCAAGGGAAAATAATGCTTACAAATACAAAATATTATAGTATTATTATTAATTATAGTTTTTGCTTAATAATTTTAAATTAACGAATTATACCTATATATAAAAATTTTCTTATTCTTTAAAGAAAGTAAATGATCTGTGTAGGTAATATTGAGAATATTAGCATAAAGAGTAAAATCACGCTACTATAATTTTGATTTAGATATTTTTTTGGCGCGCTCCATCTATGTAATTCTTTAGCCTGAGGTGTAGTACATACTAAAGGTAAAACTGAGGTAAATCATTACTTATTAGCTACGCCAGTGGTGTAGCTGGACAGCTACGCCAAATTGCTACGCGGATCCCTTCGTCCTACACTGATCGTAGCACTTGCTTTTCTGCACTTTCTGTACTTTAATATTGTTTACATATTTTTTTTATTTAATAATGTTATATAAATAATGTTTGAAAGGAGGCGTTTATTTTAATAAGTGTGTTTTTATTTACGCCATATTTAAAAAGACACATACAAATATAATGAGTATTTATCTACTCTAAAAATATATTTTGTGTTTTAATTTTGACTGAAATAATGTTGACGAAAAAGAAACCAGATATACAATTAGAACACACCAACTCTAATTAGAATTAATCATCTTTTAATTATAGTAAAACATTTAGTTTCCCACTTGAACGTGATTGGCGCGAAGCATTCGAAACGTCGGAAACCAAAAATCAAAATCCGAAATAAATTCGCGAAAAATACGAACATGAAGTTTTATCTCAAATTAACAAAAAACAATAAAAGTATTAATTATTATTAAAATTTTAAAATTCAAATATTTCAGTGTCTTTGCTTATATCAATTACAGCTGTTATTATGAATTATGATAAATCTAAAAGCTGATACTTTTGTTTTCTGTATTACTCGTAGTATTAAATTCGCGACCTCTAGTGCCAATATTATACACTTACAAAATGTTTTGGCAAAATTAATTTATAGCGCCATCCTACGTCAAATAAGAGAACTTCGTATTCTATTAAATTCTAATTGGGCTTTCTAATTGTTACTAGATGGCACTACTTATTTCTGAAACTGGAATTAAGTTTGATAGATGTCGCTAGTTGTACACTTGAGTTGAAGTTTTCAAACTTTTTAACCGACAAAAAAAGAAGATTTTCAATACGACACGTATTTTTTTTTGTTTATTTTTATGTTTGATCACGCGTAACTTGTTAAAGTCTAGTCCGTTTCTATATTTTTTTTATTGGATAGGGCTTACCTCAAAGTTGATCCCATTTAATTCGAAAAAAAATCCGCGCCTAAGTGTAAAAAATAGGGGATAGTTGATTTTTCACCTATTGAAGTTTTAAAAATACTTTCTTCTTACTTTACTACTACTATGCCTGCACTAAAGATGGAAAAAATAAAAACTTAAAAAAATAAATAAAATCGACTTCCGATTAAAAAGTTTTTAATACTTAGCTTTTTCTTTTAAAAATGAATTTATTTTGTTGATTTTTTATTGATATTATTATAGCGATCAAGTTTTATTTTCATTGACCAGTTATAAGTTAACTAAAGGACAATGAAAGTTTGTATGTGTGTATGTGTGTGTGTGTGTGTGTGTGCTTTTAGTGATTCACGCTAAAACGGTTAAAGAGATTTTGATGAAATTTAGTACACGTGACACATAACGTGACACGTGAAGTAACACATAGGCTACTGTTATTAATATAATTTGTCAAAAGCCAAAAGAGTATAAAATGTTTTAAATACATACGAGTACATCGATTAGAGTTTAACTGGAGGGACATCCTAGGGAACTGGGCAGATTGTCGTGGTGGGGGGGCTCAGTAGTCCCGGCAATCCAGCCGGGCGAGAAGCCAAGAAACGCACAGAGAGGTGGCTGACTTCGGTGGGCGGTGGACCATGCGGGTTGCTCCTGGTACTTCTCTGATAGCAGAGTGGACCTTGGAACAACCCCATGGTTGTTGTGGTCTGCTTTGGCAGACCTGCCGTCGGGGCGTAGTAGTTGAATGCATAAGCGATCCTGGGACACCCCATTAAGACGGGGTAAGGTTTTGTTGGGTTAAGGTGGGCTGTACTGGCTTTGCCGGTGAGTCCCACACCTAGTGCGTAAATTTTGTGCGCATTTCCCAACGTTAAAAAAAAAAAAGAAAAAAGGGAACTGGGTAGTACTGTAAATCAGAGTTGTTTGAGATCTATACTTTGCCTAAGTTTGAATAATGGTCTTACTTTTTGGTGTTTTTTATAATCCCCGACGCAAAAAGAGGGTATTATAGGTTCTACGTGTCTGTCTGTGTATGTATATGTGTGTCTGTCTGTGACATCGAAGCTCCTAAAATAATGGATCGATAAAGGGACGATCGGGCGGCTGCTAAGTAAATAAAATTAAAACTAGAATATAATAATATAAATAAACGTCTCCTTTCAAACATTAGAAAGAAGATTGATAATGATAAAGTATTAGCGGTCCCCCGACACAGCGACGCTTATCCTCAAAATATTAATACTGCAGCACTTTTATTAAAGTTAAAAAGCCAATAGAGAATTTTATTTTTATACTTTTTAGACATTTTTTTGTGTCGAGGATTACTTAATAGCAATAAATATTTATTTTTATTTTATTTATATATTTATTTACACACAAAAAGCACGCAGGGGCGCACTCAAGCGTCACAAGGTAAAGTCCTTATTGATACATTTTTTTTAAACAGCTGGAAGATGTAAGCACATTTCTGAAACGTAAAACTGGTTTTCAACTGCGACCTGTCGCTGGCTACCTTTCCCCTAGAGACTTCTTATCTGGTCTCGCCTTCAGAGTGTTTCATTGCACTCAGTACATTCGCCACTCGTCTGACCCATTTTATACGCCAGAACCGTAAGTATTATGGTGATCGTAAGTAATATTGTTTTTTTAAGAATTCTTTTCCTGTGACAAATAAGTATCATTCGAAAGTATGACTTATAGAAAATGCCATTAAACGTTTGGCGGCCTTTGTCAACAGATTACCTGACATACAGGTATAAACAGGTAAATTGAAGTAGTTGCTCGTATCGTTCCCGGAACGAACCAAGTATCGTATTGGAGATAATTTTATAACTTTAACGATGTAGTGTTCTCATACCAAAACATCTCCAGACTAGAGGTTTTTGAATAAAAAATAGCCTGGAGCAAACTTTTGGTGACAAGTTGACAACCTCTTGAGTCGTGTCTGTCAATATGTTTCATGGTTTAAAAAATATATTTTGCCTGGAAAAGGAATGAGGGGTCCACGACATAGATCGGGATCTTAGACTAAGTAGGATGCTCGATAAATTCATAAACTTTATTTAATACTTTTCATTGACAACAATCTTCCATTCAAGGGGAGATGTGAACAAAAACTACGTGTAATAAAATTTCTAAACCTTGTATTAATAAACTGTACAATGTACATACACAATAAAGTATTATTTCTTTTAATTTACAGCGATTGTTGTCACGAGTTGCTCGGACACATGCCGCTACTTGCCAATCCGAGTTTTGCACAGTTCTCCCAAGAACTTGGCTTGGCTTCCCTCGGAGCGTCAGATGAAGACATTGATAAACTGGCAACGGTGAGATTAATATTTCAAATTTGAAATTCTAGTAAAGTTTCTGCCAAAAAATCGTATATGCTCAGTCATATACATTTGTTCACTGACATTAATGTATTTATTATCATCAAAATCTATGTATCCAATAGTAGATTTAACTACTAACTCATTTATCTCCCTTATGCCATAAACCAGTACATATTATAAAATAAATTCCCCCCATCGCGTATGTCTGTCTGAACGCAATAAACTCAAAAACTAAGTCAACTCAAAAACTAACTCAAGTTTCATTGGCGTGCGTCGTATAAACTAATAAAGTTACGAGTATATGAAAATAATGTATTACATAATTATTTCTCTTAAAAAGATCTTCCTGATAAGCTGTACAAATGTTATGTGCATGTAGCTAGGACCCGCACCCGTGCTAAGCGAAGGTAAATCTCTAGTCTATATAAATAGAAATGAATCACCGAAATGTATATACGCGACTAACTTCCGGTCGACTGCACCACATTGGATTATTTCTTTTTTTTTGTATTTGTTATTGCCAGGAAAAAAAATTGTAGAAGAAAATTAAAAGATTTCTTTTTACTAAAATAAGTTTTTTTTAAACTTCATGATGTGAAAAGTGAGTGAGTTAAGTGGTTTTATTACCGGAAATCATACCTTAAGGGGGTAAGAATAGGGATGAAAATTTGTGTGGGGAAGCACACAACGACGAATCCGAGCGAAGCGAGGGTGAGTCGCTAGTATTATAATATAAACCCAATTTAATTCACTTAGAGTGTATATATGTTCACTTTAAATTGAATATTTTAAATTTTATCGTCGTTTTCATGTCTAATAAAACGACCGTAGTGTCTCCGAGAGCATCATCAATTTACCGCTCAAGTTAGTTACCTAGTTGGTGCTGAGTAGTTTTCCATTAATCCTAACAACGTCCAATATCCATTGAAAATAGTTTAGCTTTTATATTAATAGTTTAGATTTTAGTTAAATGATATAAAAAATACAAAAGTAAATAAAACATATTTTTTTGTGCATAATCTTGTAGTCATCCTCATTAATATTAGATATTTATTATAGACTAGCGTCTCGTTCTCACTTCGGTCGGGTTCGTCCCTGGGTATGCTTCCTCTTACAAACTTTCACCCCCATTTTCCATACGGAATGATTTCCAGGATGAAAACTATCCTATGTCCTTCCCGGGGTCTCAAATTATCTTCTTACCAAATTTCATCTAAATCGGTTCAGTAGTTTCGGATCTTATTCGGTACAAAGACACAAACAAACAAAAAAATATTTCCTTTTTATATTATTAGCATAGAAGAAATTATGATTGTCAATCGTTTTTCTTTCAATGGAGTATATTATTGTGATTTTTGATTAAGTATTGTAGAGAATTGCTTGAAAAGTGAAAAGTGTTTGAAAATCAAATATTAGGATAGATCCAACAATATTAAGTTATACTTTAAAGATAATACTGTGGGTGTAAGGGCTATAATATAACTAATGTTTTATTCAGCAAGTGCTTAAAATATTGTATTACCACAGATAGTAAATCTTGAAATTATTCAGGAATTATGAGCTAAAACACAAAGTGGTTTAATGTAGCGTAAAATTACGCTACTACTAAGTGGGCACAATAAAAGACCTAGACATAATGGAATGCTCGACGCTGAGAATGAGGAAACAGTAATTATTTTCGCGAATATAGATGGTATATTTTATGAAATTACGATTTTTAGCGATTAAGATAGAATTTCAAGCATTTCATTAGATTTAAAAAACTATAAAACTATATACTTTACACACGATATTAATTATGCCATAACAATTCTCATGAGATAAATTAATTGAAAGTGGACCCATCTTTATGATTTTTTTGATTACTATCTCATATTCATAAATAATAAAATAATAAATATGTTGGGACATCAACACACAGTATCATCTAGTTCCATGGTAAGCTACGAGGCTTGTGTTATGGATACCAGGTAGTTGATACACTATACATTATTAAATAAAAACATATTATTAATATAAACAAATATCCATGATTGGAGTACAAACATTCGTGCTCATCACTTAAATGAATGCCTCCAGTGGGACTCGAACCCCCGACAAACAGGGTGACCACAAACTGAGCAAATGTGTCGTCAAAGTATAAAATATTGTATTGTATATAAAACATTCATTCAATCAACATTTTGTCATGAAATTGTCAATACTTATACGAAGTTTCACGTAGTTTTTACAGAGAAAAGACGCAAAAAATTGGAAGAAATGTAAAAGTGATAGATACTTTAGCATTGACATTTTAGTGCTCGGATACTGAAAGGCTGTTACAGCAAGTCCCAAAAGTGAATATTTAGGAAAATATAATGTAATTTTCAAAGTAGCGTCGTGAAATTTTATATTTTTCGTAATAAATAATTGTTCTTCAACAAACAAACGGACATGCTTTTGGCTCTTTTGACTCTTCAAAATGAATCATTGCTCATCATCGCGAAATGATTCCATTAGTCATTCAGTCACCCCTTCTCATTCCATCACTAGTCCATGGTTATCCAGGTTACACATTCGATATATCAAATCAATATCTATAACTATACATATAATAAAATTGTAACAGACCGCTGTCTGTACATAGAAGATATTTGAGAAAAACTCATTGTTGGGGATCTTTAGTAACGCAATAGAACCCAAAACAATGATTTTTTTTTTTGAATTTTAGTCTGTTCGTCTGTTTGTCTGTGCGTTTTTGCGCTCTAATCTCAGAAATGGCCTAACCGATTTGGGTACGGTTTTATTGTATTGTGGTAAGTTTCACTTAACATTTAGTATTTACGTTATTTCAATCGGTAAATATTAAAAAAAATATGTCCATTTAAAGAATCACCCAAGAACAAACCCGAGCAAAGCGAGGGTGAGTTGCTAGTACTTAATATTAAGTTAAAATAGATTTTCAATTTCAATTAAATAGCTACAAGCGAAAATTTTAAATATAGTACAATGAGACAAGTACGAGTGAAATTCGTGATAATATGACATAAACACTGTACCTATATCACTGTCATGTTCCCACAAGAAATCATATACGATATTTGTTTTGTTTTCATCATATGGTCGGATATCTAAAATTACCAGATTGACGGCATATTTAAAAATACTCTTATTATTTGTGAAACATTATACAAAGTATACATTAAATATTGAAATACTTTTAGGTCAGTTTGTAAAGTCAAACATTTCAGACGTGTTTATAATTTTTATAAGCATGAAAATTATTTATTACTTTTTAAAGATCAGTCTTTCTCACGTTTATTAAAAAAATACACAGTGAGCTAGAATTTCTAAACATCAAGAAGTTTCTACATTAAATTATATTTTAGATGAAATATCAAAATAGCCAATTTCGTTTTTTTTTTCAAGATCTTTTTAGTTTTTATGACGAGACAGTTTAAATCTGTGAAAGCATATATTATATAACAATATTATATTCTTAATTATTTTCTTATTTTATTTATTCTCACTTAATACAGAACTTATTTGTTAGAACAACTGATTTAATGGAAATTTTCAAATTGTTTATAATTTTTTTCATTAGTTTGAATACTGTTTTCCCGAAATTTGCATAGATAAATAAATACTATGTTGGGACATTAACACACAGTACCATCTAGTTCCATGGTAAGCTACGAGGCTTGTGTTATGGATACCAGATTGTTGATACACTACACATATATAACTTTAAATACATACATATTGTAAATATAAACACCCATGACTGGAGCACAAACATTTGTGTTCATCACACAAATGAATGCCCCCAGCGGGACTCGAACCTGCGACCGCTGGCACAGCAAGTATTATTACATTATATGTATTTGCGACATGATTTTTTTATACACAAATAAAATGTCGTAGTTGACAGGCCATCAATCTTTTAAAGTCATTTCCTAACGGATGCCTATTGGAGTGATTGATTGTAATTGTTCTGCGATTCTTGTTGTTGTTTATACTAATCGATTAGGCAAAGTATATAGAGCTATGTTTTATTATATTAGGATCAAGTTCTAAAAATAATATAAGTATTTTAAAAATAAATACATTTTGTAACGGATTATAAAGGTATCTGTTACAGCGATGGTCTCTCGTTTCAGTGAGAGGATAATTAAATTTAGTCAGATTCTATAAAGTAAATATTTTTTTAACTAAAAAGTCGGTGTAGAATTCAAAACTATAAAGTTATTATTAAACTTTTAGAGATGGAATTTGTTCTTTAATTTTAAATATTAAACTTAGTCATAATTTCAGGAATTAACTATTTATTATAAATTCATATAATAAGTTTGAAATTGTGGAAGGTAATATAAGAAATACAGTTGAAAAGTGACATATTTTAAGAAGATTATTTTATCAAGCTTACGATAGCTTTTCGTATGTGTGTGACACACAAACATACACATATCCCAGATAGATTCCCAAATATAATCATCCACTGACAGCTAAAAATCAGCTCTAATAACTCGCCGGTGGGCACGGAATCTGGCCTAGTGCGAATTAACGATTTCGCAATATGTCTTTCGAAAAATTGCTAGGTTCTCTCATTCAGGTTTCCTAACGATACTTTCTTCCACCGTGAGTTAGTTATCATGGTGAAATATGCACATGAAAATATTACATATGCGAGACCCGGGATATGAACCCTGTGTACTTAGTTTCCTACACGAGTACGTCACCACTGGGCGGCCAGTAGATTACTCGTAATTTTAAGACTAGAAATTCTTTTCATAAATAAAACATAATATTTCTTGTAAAATTTTAGTAGTAGGTATTATTTTAAAACAAACCGCTCACAAAATGAATTTTACTACATTTTATTAAAATAATAATTGCGCTCTTTGCCCGCGAGTTGGATGTTATCGGATTTTGTTAATTGACAAGCTTTTTCGTTTCATCAATGAAATGAATTTCTTTATCCGAATGTTGGTTTACCATTGAATTTCAAAAGTTTTAGTGGTAAAATATTTCGGTTTCATTATTATTTTGTAAGAGAAATGTAAAAATATTTTTCATATAATTGTCCATGAGTATTTTTGCTTTCGCAGTACATGTTATTAAGTTTGTAATATTTTTTCGTATGCAGTAGGTACTTATTTTAGGTCTACCTCTTTTATGTTAGGCAGAAATAGCTTATTAAAAATCCCATACGCCAACCCCAAGATCATATTAGGGACGTATATATTGTTTACTTACGGCCTGCCTTTTCAGTGCTCCGCTTATAACCTAAAAAAATAAATTTGGTTGAGTCGTTATGCTTCTAACATTTATCTTGTAAGAATTATTATTTACTGGTTACCCTTCTCATCGAATTCCAGTCGTTCTGGATATTTGTTGGTGCAGACGGATAGACAAAAATAATTCAACTGTTATTTAGGTTAAAATATCGTGAATATGACTATAGTATAAACTTTATTTAGCACTAGAGCGTCTCATCCTCACTCCGCTCGGGTGCGTCCCTACTTACGTTTTAACGTTTAGTATAGATTTCTCAGAGAGTTTTTTTTTCTTAGTAATAACTACAGTATATGTTGACTCGGATAACCAACTAGCATTATACCAAATTTAATCAAAATTTATCTAGTGGTTTTCTCGTGATAAGTACATACCCATACAGAAAGACAAAAATTCTAAAAACTATAGATTCGAGCAGATAATAATGTCTATTTCAATAAGATTTTCCAAAAAATACTTAATTAACAGATTCAGGTTAGTTACAATTTCATTATATTACTAGCATTGCCCACGGCTCCGCCCGCGTTCAGATGACCAAAAAAAAAATTCTTAGGTTTTACACATTAGTATACTCTTACTTTGCAGTTTTTGTATATTTTCTCAGAAATGAGATATTTTATCGCGGTAAAAAGTATCCTATATGTTGACCTGGATAACACAGACCTGACCTAACCATGACCTGACAAACAGACAGACAGACAAAAATTCTAAAAACTATAGATTCGGCATCTGTATCGATATTAATTTTTATTTCAATAAGATTTTCCAAAAATATTTAATATATAGATTCAGCTTAGTTACAATTTTATTATATGTATAGATAATATTGTATTTTTTTTGTTTCACTAGCTTTATTTCTTCACTGTGGAGTTTGGGCTGTGTCGTCAAATCGATGGCAGCTTCCGTGTATATGGAGCTGGCTTGCTCTCATCTGTAGCTGAACTGCAACACGCTTTAACCACTCCTGAAAAAATAAAGAGATTCGATCCAGAAGTAACTGTGAACGAGGAATGTATAATTACATCTTATCAAAATGCGTATTATTATACTGACTCTTTTGAAGAAGCGAAGGAGAAAATGAGGTCAGTTATTTTCATCTTCAATGAATTATTATGAATATTTATGAATGAGTTCATATTATAATATTATTTGGTTGGCTTTATATTATCATTATTTTACTGTTTCTATATGAAGTCAGTGTTATGAAGAACAAATACTCTTATTTAAGTTTTGAGAGGAAAAAAATCTAAATTTCCTAGATTTTTATTTTTTATACATTAATTTTGAATTTCATTTTTTGAAGATTACTTTCTGTTACACATTTACCTATATTTTAATATAATTTTTATTTTTATAGAGCGTTTGCAGATAGCATTCAACGTCCATTTGGAGTGCGATACAATCCATATACTCAAAGCGTCGAAGTGTTGAGCAATGCTCAGAAAATAACCGCTCTCGTTCGCGAGTTAAGAGGTGATATATGTATCGTGTCGTCCGCTATCAAGAAAATATCAGCTCAAGATTCTACTCTGGATGTGGAAACAATTGCGAACATGCTGCATACTGGATTACAGGTGAAATATTTATCTTTACATCTTCTTCTTCTTCTACCTGCCCATTTCCCAATCACTTGGGGTCGGCGCAGTACATCTTCTGTACTGCTGATATGATTTGGCAAAAGTTTTACGACCGGCCGTCTGCCTGACGTCAACCCTGCTTGGGAATGCTATTGTCTCTCTTTGTCTGAATGGTGTCGCGGAAGTCTTGTAATTATTATGCCCTTTCAATTTTGTTGTCTTTTAAAACATTTTTATACTATTACTTAAATTGTTAATGTTATTTTCGGATATATTTTAAAATAAATTTTGATGACACCATAAATTTTGTTTTGACGTTGTCAAACTGAAAATTTGGCAGGTAGATTGCTCATGCGAACTAGATATCCGCTCTTAAAGGATTTTTGGAAAACCTACTCTAAACTTAAAAATGGGTTAGAAGTTTATATGAAAATTCGTTATTTGTAAACTATTCGAGCAAAACCGCGAGTAAATGCTAGTATAATAATATAATCGTTATTGCACAGGATCAATAATTACTAAGATGGTGTAAAATTTGAACCAACGGAGCAGAGTTTAATCGTATTCAAACTCAGCTCGCGATACGCAATAAATCTATTGGATTTTCAATAAAGCATTCCCAAGTCTTCATCAAAATTGACATATACTAAAGGGCGAAGCTGTTAGTTACTAAAGGGCAAATTAGTTTTGACATACGTGGGTTTCTCGTAAGAGTAGTGTACAGATAATACGATTCTTAGTCCTATCTGTACATTGTATATTTTTTTGGAAAATCTTATAAGAATAGTCTTTATTATCGATACAGAGGACGAATATATAGTTTTTAATTTTTTATCTGTCTGTCGGTCGGTATGCGATCGCATCACGAGAAAACGACTGAAGAGATTTTGATGAAATTTGGTGTGACTATAGCTGGTTGTCCGAGTCAATATATAGGATACTTTTTACTGCAAAAAAACTTCTCATCTCTGAGAAATCTATACTAAACGTTAAAATGTAACCCGAGCGGTAGTATTATACAAAACGTCTTAAGTAAAGAGTAACATTTATTATATCTTAAATGAAGTCGTGTTTCATTTGAGTTTGTTCTATAGAACTGAATTATTGGCAATGTAATATTTCCGACATAAAATTTTAATTTTCATCGACAACTTCTCGTAACTTTTTCGCAAATTGTAAAATTTAGTTCATTTTTCTTGTGGAAACGTAAAAAAATCATCTTTTGTTAGACTTTTTTCTGTCACTCACTAAACAATATTACAATTTGAAGTCTTAAATGTAGAACGAAAATATTATTATTGTTCATGACCTATTTTAATATAAATGCAGCACTTAACAACATTGTATGAAGACGACGGTAAATACATCGTCATTTCCAATTATATGCCTTTGTTCCGACGTATCCTTGTTTCGCTCGGGTGCGTCCGTAGGTGCATTTTGTATAATCTATACTAATATTATAAATAGGCAGAATTCGTTTGTTTGTTTGTTTGTTTGTCTGTCTGTATGTCTGTTTGTTTGTTTGTTTGTTTGTTTGTTTGAACACGCTAATCCCAGTAACTACTAATCCAATTTGAAAATTCTTTTTGCATTAGATAGCCCGTTTATTGAGGAAGGCTATATGCTATATATTATATAATATATATTCTACCTATTCATAGTAACCATTAAAACATACATAGCGAGGGTGATACGCTACTAATATTATATACTGGCAACACCAATTTTAGCAAATAACAGTAGCTAATGTTTTACGTACTAAATTTCATTCAAATCCGTCCAGCCGTTTTGTTGTGAAGTAAATACTCGTACAAACATACAGACGCATAGACATACAAACAAACTTTTGAATTTATCAAGGCAACAAAATTATGTTTCATGAATACAGCTGGCTATTAAATACAATGTAGAAATTAATAACCGTTCTAAACACCATGATTCCCCCCATTTCAAATGTGTTTCAGGATTTTAGTATGCAGTAGCGTAGTGACTTATTATAACTTTATTTCATTGTAAAACAAAGTAAAATTGAGGCCATATTGTAACTACAGATTTCATTCACTGATTACAATCAAATGATTATTTAGCTAAAGCTAAATTGGGGTCAATTATAAAAACTTTTGTTTCACATTCAAACCCAATCATTGTTGATATTTAAAAGCTATTTTCTAACTTTGAAACGATATATATATATATATATATATATATATATATATATATATATATATATATATATATATATATATATATATATAAAGAAATCTTGTAAAAACGTTTTATGTGAGTTAAAAGTTAAAAAATTTTATGTCTTGATGATAATATATGTACGGATAAAAGTTATTTTAAGTACATAAAAGCTTAAAATAACCAACCAAGCTTTCAAAGCTCAGGGTGCAAATGTCGTCGTTCCTAGTTTGATTCCACATACAAACTTTCATTCCCATTTTCACACCTTAAAGTATGATTTCCGGAATAAAAACTATCCTATGTCCTTCCCAGGATCTCAAACTATCTTCTTATCAAATTTCATCTACATCGGACAAGTAGTTTCGGAGCTTATTTGGTACGAACAAACAAACAAAAAAATCTTTCCTCATTATAATATTAGTATAGATAGCACTCATAAGCTTTTTGTTAAAACTTCTACGTACATATTAATTAATATCAATAAACAAGTATTTTTCAAGTGCATACAATAATCAAAATTTTGCGCACTTTGATCTTGAAAAAATTATACTTCTAAAATTACACCATATATTGTCTTATATGAGATCAGTAAGATTTATAAGCACATTCACTGCAACTGAAGTGAAGAACCGACACGTGAGCAAATTATTTTATGGACGATACTTCATAAGATTTTAACTAAACCGTCCCCTTCTCATGTTTATCAAAACTGGACGTTTGCCAAGAGAGTTTCTTATTTGATATCTCTACTATTTCCTAACGTAATAATCAAGGATTTTACATCAAAAGAACACTCTTTATAACGTAACTCTACAACACAAAAATTACTATGCCTTTGATTGTTTATCTAACATCAATAAAAGTTACTTTCAATGGTGATACAATATGTTATGGTGGAGACATAAATATTTATTATTGGTTTAAAAAAAGTTTCCAAGATGAGATTTTTCATTTAAATGAAATATGATGATTTTATGATATAAAGATGATAACCAATTTAGTTCATTTCAAACTTTTAAAATTTTTGCTCTTTAATATTCTTACGTGCGAGAAATAGAAGAGTAAATAAATAAAATTAAAATTTCTTTGTTTTAATGTCAAAATTAAAACTTTTTATTAAATGCATATGAAATTATATACGATAAGAAAAACACAAATTGCTACCGCCAATATCAAAATGGATGGACTGATTTTGACGGAACTTTCACTGGCAGATAGCTGTTATTATGATGTTTTAAGGAGTAACTTAGGCTACTTTTATTTTAGAAAAAGAATTAGGGTACCGCTCAAAAAAAACACGCACCTGGGTGATGCGAGGGTAAGTCACTAGTTAATAATATAATTATTATTATATGAATTCGTTTTGTTTTCTTGTTGTTATTTAATTTTCCATATTTACCATAATCCCTACGCATTATCCAATGACCATCTTCGCAATGGATCCTGGCAGATGCTTCAACATTAAACAAAATTTAACATCTTAAGTATATGTTAGACTTGTTTCTCTTAACAAGTCTACCAAATACTGGGCTCCTTCAAGCCCGAGAAATTGGAAGAAATGGAAACAATACTAATTATCTCCTCTAGACTGATTTAGGCAACGACGGCTTGTTTCACTAAGACTAGCCAGGTGTACAGGATATATACATATATATATATACATATATATATATATATATATATATATATATATATATATATATATATATATATATATGTATATATATATGTATATATAATGCACAAGTGCACTCTCTGTTGCATGAATTGACAGAAGACCCCAATAAATATACTTAGCTCGACCTGGTACTCGAACCCAGAAAATTCAGTCTCTAGACGTACATGCTCGCTAGACGAATAAAGCAGTTTATACACGCGTAATAATAATTATATTCAACTAAATAATAATATACTTGCAGGTGAATGAGAGAAGTCCCCAAAGCACTTCGGGTGGCAGTTCGCCGAACTCCGACCGAGCCGTGTCTCCAAAGCCAGACGCCTCTAAATAAATATATAGCGCTGACATTATAATCAAACTTGTTTGTAGGAAAATATTATATTATATAGCTATGTATTTCAAATCATTAAATGTCATGTTATCCCATATTTTAGAGTTTTTAAGATATTTTTAACATAGCGGCCAAATTTTGTAAGAGCGGTTACAAACCTTTATGGTTTTACCGAATCGTTGTTCATATTCAGTTCATTATACTGTATATGTTCGCATTAATAAGTTTTTTAATTCAGTTCGTTGACTCGGTAAGCCGTATACGGTTTAAAATATTTGAATGGTTTTTTCATTCGATGTGATTTTCCAAGTCAGTTTTCTTATAAAGAATACCTACATAAAATGAACGGAATAAACGCATTGATATTTGTACCATATCAGATTGTACCGTATTTTGCTGTGTAAACCGTACATGAAAACCGATTCGGTAAAACACAACATGTGCACGTGCTGTAAGCTTAAAGCTGCCGGCAAGTAAACTTTCTTAATTAAGTATGGGTGTACACCCATATATATATCTATACATATCTATGCATTTGATGTACTATGTTTTGTATTAAATATTTATAAAATATGCATAATAGGTATTTGTGTAGCATAATATATGTAGTCACTAAATGTTGTAATTTGGGCTTAAAAATATACGCTATATACTAGCGTTTATATATTATATATATATATATATATATATATATATATTTATATATATATATATATATATATATATATTTATGCGATGATTTCTCCATGGTGTTCAATATTTTGTTCCAATAGTGCATAAGCTACTTTTTAAGGGCTTTATAAGCCATCTCAACTGTATTTTGATGTTATCAAATGTTTGTAGTCAAAATTGAATGAAATTAAAACTATAACATATTCCTAATCGCTATTTCAGCTATAAAATATATTGCATAAACTTTATAAATTGTATATTCTATAACTAAATAATAAATAAAGTAAATAAAACTTAATCTCAGATTTTATTTAATGACAATTACTCTAATACTCGTCCACCTATATATAAATTCATTATTCATTCCTTTTATAAAATCTATTTTTTAAGTATAATCCATACTTTAATATTATAAATGGGGAAGTGTGTTTGTTTGTTTGTTTGTTTGTTTGTTTGTTTGTTTATTACTTTGTCTTTCTTTCACGTCGAAACGGATTGACGGATTGGCCTGTCTTTTTGTGTGGATATAGTTGGAGGGCTGGAGAGTGACATAGGCCACTTTTTACCACGGGAAATTATCTAATTTCCACGGGAAAATGCGTTAAAATACAATTCAAAAAATATTTAAGATCAGAATTACTTGAAACTCGGTATTAATGTTATACAATAATATTAAATAAATAATTGTTTTAGCATTTTTCGAAATTCATCATATAAGGGGGTAAAATAGGGGATGAAAGTTCGTATGAAATTGCCTTTTTAGAGACTTTATTGTACTATTAGCGCGAGCAGAGCCGCGGGTTCTGCTAGTATTTCATATACTAATACCGCAGATAGGGAATTAAAGTATACATATAGTAAGATTATTATTATTACTTTTAACCACAACTGAACAATAGCAGTTCTAGTTCAAAAAAATAAAATCGGTTGACAAACAGAGAAAAAGGAACTAATATGCTTTGTCTTTGTCTATTTATTTATATTTGTACTCCAACATAATTACTTAAAACATATATTTCAGTCTTCTCAAAGCCATCAGAAAAGCTGGAGGAGGTCTCTGAATATAGGTAGTAATAATAATAATAGAGCTTTATTTAATTCCATACACATTACAGTGATAAGTTTTATAAAAATTATTAATTTTATTAAACATTTAATACTTTATATTTTTAAAAGTTAAGTTCATGGATTCAATTCTAATTTTTTTTATTATTTATATAGTTGTTTATTATTTATTGTTTGTACGGAACCCGTTCGGGTAAAAACAGCCAAAGGAATGCCAAAACTCTCTATCCTTAGCTGTGTCCAGCTGGCTTCCACCCGCCATCGCTACTATTTCGTCTGCCCTTCTGGCCCTTGGTCGGTCTGTTGTTCTGGTGCCTCTTGGCCTTGACCACTTTACTGACCTTAAGGTCTAGCTACCGTCCTTGTATCCAGCTAAGTGGTAGGAAGTGGTAATAATGACAAGAAATCTCTGTACTAATAAGTAAAATTGTCTTGTTATATACCTACGTTATGTAAAGATATTGTGTTACTAGTATGATACGTTTAGCTTCAACGAATACACCCACGCACGTAGCGTACAGCGTTTGATATATGATAAATATGAAATACTTGAAGCAGTAAATTCAGTTCAATGTGACGACACAACAGATAATATGAACCAGCATTGTGTGAAGTAACAAATATATGATAGGACTTTTTTGTGTCAAACAGTTGTGAGCACAATTTTAACTTTCTAGTTTTTGTACACTGATCAAATATAACACACACACACACACACTTACACACACGCGCACACACACACACGCGCGCACACACACACACATAAGCGCGCTCACGAAAAAAAACCCACTCATAATGGATCTCAATTCCAAAGTCTGTTACTATGTTAATAAACATAATTATTTAGATAAAAGCCGTTTTTTGGAATATTTTAATAAATAGAAAGAGATTTTCTCTTATAATATTTGCTCTTTGTACTACATGGGCGCATTGCCTTAGGCGAAAATCATTTGTTTCATAAAATACAAGTTAGAGGAAAATATTTACCCGACTGCCTCTGAAGAGTGGTTAAATAAAATTGGCTTTGTCAGAAGAGGTTGCAAAATTATTTCCTTTATATTCCAACTCGTTACTTCTTTACTAGCGGCTTGTGTGACAGCGTTATGTTTCCATATCGGAGACTCACCCTCGCTTCGCTCGGTTTCGTTCTTAGGTACGTTTTATCTGTCAGTATAGAATTGATTGACTATATAGTATATTATACATAATTATAAGCATCATTTTCACAATAATGTATGGAACATTACCGATTTGTTGACATGTTATCGAATGCAAAAAAATTTTTCAAATCGGTTCAGTAGTTCCTGAGATACGCGGTCAAACAAATAAACAAATTTTGCCTCTTTATAACATTAGTGTAGATAAAGACAGAAGAAAATATGTTTATGTAATTGGAATTACTTACATATATCGTCAACAAAATACTAGTATATCTTGTTATGGGGCTTTCAAAAATATCTCAGAATATTCTTATAACATGACTGAAACAAGAATAGCTTTAGAAGCAAAAATTTATAAGGAACTTCGCATTTCAACCTTGTTTTAAGGGTTACCCGTTTCCGAAGGGTGCCAACGGAACGCTATTACTAAGCCTCCGCTGTCCGTCCACGGACAGACGGACGGAAGTCAGTCAGAGGGATGTATCTCATGAACCGTAATAGGTAGAGTGTTTAAATTTTCCTAGAGTATGTACTATTTCCGATATAACGACAAATATTAAAAATAAATAGAAATAAGAATACAAGAAACATTTTTTTTAACGGAGTAAAAGTCTTATAAAAATTACATGTACGATGGTATGTAACCCATCATGTTCGACTTGACCGATTTTTTATTTACTACTGCGTAAAGCTATTTCTGTTTGCCTGTTTGTAGTGTAAACTTGTCTAGTAACATGAATGTACTATAGACGGCCCGCGAGTTAATAATTTTGAGATTTTGTGGGTATGTGTGTGTTTGTTTGTAAGTAGTTATCTGTGTCAATTTAAAATTAACTGGTCTTTACATAGTATAAAATTAAGTCGCTTCCAATATCTGTTCGCTCAGATCTTTTAAACTACTCAACGGGCTTTAATGCAGTTTTCAGCAATTGATAGAGTGATTCAAGAGGAAGGTTTATATGTATAACACATGCATATTATAGTACAGAAAAGCCGAGAAATTCAAAGATTTGTATTTCATACTAACCGTCAAAACTTACCTAGGGACTTAGAGTGAGTCGCTAGTATTCAATAAATTGCTGATATAATATTATTTTTATATAATCTTCGGTAGGTAATATGTATACGTCTAATACTAATACTTTAGCAGAAATATGCTGTCGATAGCCTAGGTGAATAGATCAAGGGATTTCTACTTGGCTTACGGCCAATACTAAGGATTTAGATGAAAGGAAACCGAACACAAGGCTGTTAGTTCAATAATTTCGATAAAACTACTGTCGAATTTAATAACCAAGAAATCCGAACAAATTACCAGTAATAAGTTTATTCAAAAAAAAATAAGTTTATATTTGTATAGAAAATGTTATTATCAATTTATCCTTTTATTCAATAGTAAGTCATTAATATCGGCTTCTTTCATTTAGAGGTAGATCTTCTATATTATATAATATAATAAAATTCTATATACATTAAATATTTTTTGGAAAATCTTATTGAAGTAGACATTAGTATGGATATAGAGACTGAATCTATAGCTTTTAGAATTTTTATCCGTCTGCTTGTGTGTCTGAAACGGATCACAGAAAAATCACTGGAGCGATTTTTATGAAATTTGGTATGATGATAGCTGGTTATCCGAATCAACATATTGGATACTTTTTACTGCGGTAAAATATCTCATTTCTAAGAAATCTATACTAAACTTTGAAGCGCAAGTAGGGATGAACCCGAGCGGAGAGAGGGTGAGTCGCTAGTTTCCAATAATAATTAAAGTTTGATCTAGGATTACAAAAGTAAAAACCCGCTTGCTAAACAGTGAAATTTAAAGCCGAAAACAGATAACCTAGTATTGTGCAGTCGGAAATATACATGGTTAATGCTTTGCTTTAAGTCTTCATATACTCATATGTAGTGAGTGATATGATAAACAAAAAAAAATAGGCACAGGCAGCCAAGAAGACTGCTGACAGAAGTGAAAACTTATAAGTTTGGAATAACTGTGTTTTTTTTAAATAATTAATTTAGTATAGTATGAATAATTAAAATTTCATAATTTGTAAATTGAAATTATTATAAGTCTGGTTGTCACATCTATTG